AGAAGAAAAAAAAATGCCAGCCAGGGGCTCATGCCTGTAATCTAGCACTTTGAGAGACTGAGGTGGGAGGATTGCTTGGAAGCCAGGAGTTTGAGACCAGCCTGACCAACACATGTGATCCTTCCTCACTACAAAAAATAAAAAAAACTAGCTGAGTTATAGTGGTACATGCCCGTAGTCCCAGCAATTCGGAGGCTGAGGCATGAGTTGGGGGCTTGAGTCCAAGAGTTGGAGGCTGTGTTGAGCTGTGATTGTGCCTCTGAATTCCAGCCTGGTTGACAGAATGAGACCTTGACTCCAAAAAAGAATGCAAAACCTGTATTTTAAAACATAAATTGAGCCGGGCTCGGTGGCTCAGCCTGTAATCCCGCGCCTTTGGGAGGCTGAGGTGAGTGGATTGCCTGAGCCCACGGGTTCGAGACCCACCTGGGGAACTTGGCAAGACCTCATATCTACAATAAACCAAAAATTAGCCCGGTGTGGTAGCGTGCGCCCGTAGTTCCAGCTACTTGGAAGGCTGAGGCAGAAGGATCCCCGGAGCCCAGCAGGTCGAGGCTGCGGTGGCCAGGAGCAGCCACTGTACTCCAGTCTGGGTGACAGAGTGAGACTCCAACTTAAAAAACCCCCCAAAAAACAAACAACCCGCCCCCCAAACCTAAATTGATGTGGTCATTCTGTTCTGTTCAAGAAAGGGAGTCTGGTGAGGTTTTGGTAGCTTCTTCCATCAGTTGGCAGGGAATCTCATCTCTGCAACTGACTCTCTGGATTAACTACCCTCTGATTATGGGCACTTGGCATCATTCTGGGTCTCAGTTTATCAAAAAATGTAAGGGCTGGCCCCAGTGATTTCTGAGGGTCTTTATGGCAACAAAGAGTAGTTGCAAAATACATAGGCTTTGTAGTTACACAAGCTAGGTTCAAATCCCAACTCTACCACTTACCAGTGTGTGATTTTGGGCAAGTTACTTATCTGTAAAATCAGGACAAAGATGCTAATATCTATCCTTCCCAGGGAAGTTGTAAGCAAACAAAATAATACATATAAATAGCCTAGTACAATAAGACAAATTAGCAACAAAACGTTGTAGTATTTTATCACTTATGAGTAGACTCTTTAGGGTATCAAGAAATAAATAAGTTAATGTATATGCTAAGGCTACAGCTATCTAATTTCTCAAATATACAGAGCAAAACAAGAGACATAATACAAGAATGATCTGACAGTGATTTCCACCCTCAATAAATTTGTTGTCCAGTGGGGGGATCCAAGTAGCAATTTGAACACCACTGACATGGGCCCTATTTTGACCCAGCATAGTTTATGTTAAGCCACGGATAGATACTTGAGTTTGGACATATGCCAGAATCTTTAAAGAACAAGGAGAAACAGAAGCTACTCCATGACTGAGGGCAGTGCTCCCTATAAACAAATTAATAGTTGTTCTGTACTATTCTAACCTAAATCTAATTACGTATTGAACAAAGTAAAATAAAATTGAAAACAGAGTTTAAAATACAGAATCATGGTCAGGTGTGGTGGCTCACACCTATAATTCCAGCACTTTGGGAGGCTGAGATGGGAGGACTATTTGAGACCAGGAGTTTGAGACCAGCCTGGGAAACAGTGAGAGACCTCATTTCCACAAAAAATAAAAAATTATTTTTTCCACCCCAGGAAAAAAATCACCTTCTATCAAAATGCAGAAGCCAATACTATTCTCAGTGTTTTTGATGTTTGAAATTTTTCATTATGAAAACTTTTAAAAACGCAGTGTAACTACCAAAGACAGCTATGGTTTTGATGGTCAGTAAACTGACCCAGGGTATGCGAGCACATGGTGTGTTACAATGTATGGGGCGACTCTGAATTTCTTTGCCTGATACAAAAAAAGTACTTGTCAATGGTAGAGTGTTATATATTGTCAGAGTCAAAGATGGTATTATTTTCCTAATTATTACAAAATAATTAGAACGGGGAGAATGTAAAAAGGAAGTTCAAGGTAAAAAAAATTTTTTTTTAAGGCAGGCTCTACAGTATCACTTACTTGAAATGTGCATATAAGTCATCTGAGGATTTTGTTAACATGCAGTCTCAGCAAGGCTTGGTGGCTCAGCCTGTAATCCCGTGCTTTGGGAGGCTGAGGTGAGTGGACTGCCTGAGCCTGTGGGTTCGAGACCCGCCTTGGCAACTTGGCGAGACCTCATCTCTACAATAAAAAAAAAAAAAAAATTAGCCGGGTGTGGTAGCATGCACCTGTAGTTCCAGCTACTTGGAAGGCTGAGGTGGAAAGATTGCTGGAGCCCAGCAGGTCGAGGCTGCAGCGGCCGGTAGCGACCACTTGCACTCCAGTCTAGGCGACAGAGTGAGACTCCAACTCAAAAAATAAAAATTAAAAAAAAAAAAACAAAAAACCAAAAAAACCCCAAAACATGCAGTCTCACTCAGTGAACCTAAGGTGGAGCCTGAGATTTTGCATTTCTTTTCTTTTTTCTCTTTTGCTAGAGACAGAGTCTTGCTCTGTTGTGCAGGCTAGAGTGCAGTGGTGCAAACATGGTTCACTGCAGCTGCAAACTCCTGGGCTCCAGTGATCTACCTAAGCCACCTGCGTAGCTGGGATTACAGGTGCATATCACCACACCTGGCTAGCTAAAAAATTTTTTCTTTTATGAGGGGTCCCACTATGTTGCCCAGACTGGTTGTAAACTCCTGGCCTCAAGTGATGTTCCCGCCTTGGCCTCCCAAAGTGTTGGGACCATGGGCATGAGCATCTGTGTCCGGTAACTTTCTAACACACTCCCAGGTACTGCAATGCTGCTAGCTAGGACCACACTTTGAGTAGCACAGGAACTGAGCATCATCTGTCCTATGGTAATAAGGGCTTCTTCTGGCATGGAGGTCTTAAGGCGTCTGCTGTCTATTCATAATTTGAACAAATGGAAAGAGAATACACAGGCATCTTAGGTAAAAAATGATTTTCTACCTTCTATTTTCAGTCTTTCAGCTAGCTCTCTGCACACAGCGTATTTCTTCAAGGGTTCTGGAATAGCCTTGGCTAATAACTCCATGTCAACCTCCTCATATTTCAGAACATCTAGAGCACTGCAAATACACACAAGCCCATTAATATAAGGATCCGTATCATACAAGGCAGATTAAGAATAAGACTCCTTGGGATGATATCAAATTCTCAGACTAAATAAATACTATCATAAGATACTTTTTTTTGAGTCAGGGTCTCACTCTGTTGCCCAGGCTGGAGTGTAGTGGCACACTCGTGGCCACCACAATCTTGACCTGCTGGGCTCAGGTGATCCTTCCGCCTCAGTCTTCCAAGTAGCTGGAACAACAGGCATGCGCCACCATGCCTGGCTAATTTTTATTTTTTATTTTTTTTATTGAGAGATGAGGTCTCACCATGTTGCTCAGGCAATTCTCTCATCTCTACCTCCAAGTGCTGGGATTACAGGTGTGAGCCACCCAGCCCAGCCATAAGATACTCTTATCTCTAAGTACAGCGTGCAAATGTAGCAGCATTTACACAACAGCAGGCACTCAATGAGACTTGATACTGTCTTCTCACCAACTCAGGGTGGCATGGTTGCTATCCATTTGTCCTCCCTTTCCTGGGAGAACAAGGGTTTCACTGAATCTCTCAGCACAGGCAGTGTGCTTTAGGCCTAAGCCACGTTAAGTCTTGTGTCTTGCGAGTGAGACGCCCTCTGCATGTGAGGAGCTATGACAGGGGTCTGCTTTATTTCTCCGACCTCCCCATGGAAGAACAAGAAGCTGTGAGCCTATGGAGCATCTGAAGTCTCTGCAGGACAAACTGATGAAAAGGATACAGGGTGCTAAGGATTCTTCCATTCTAGTCTTTCTCCTAATTTGGTGTCGTCTCCATTTCCATTTTTCCCACATGGGAACTTGTGGCAGTGAATCCTCGGCTCTACTTCTACTACCCATTCTGGATGGGCTAAAGCCTCCCACCAAGGGGAGTGGGGAGCAATAAAGGCAGTGAGTGGGGACTGTCATGGTGATCTCCAGCCACCTGCACGGGGCACCTAGTAGGAGAGTCTTCTAGTAGCTGGACTCACTGGCACTTGAGCTCAAACTAGGGGGAAACTTAAGGAATGTCCAGTCTTCAGAAGTGCTGGTGCTGCTCTGACCAGTCATACCAGACCCTTTAACACTGATCTCAAGTCTTCCCTCTTGACCTCACCCACTCCCACCCTGAATCCAGACCCTCCCCTAAGGCAATTAACTAGATCACTTGTTGCTCTTAACTAGATCAATTAACTAGATCACTTGTTGCTCTAGTAACAATTACTTACTAGGTGCAACTAACTAGATCACTTGTTGCTCTGGTAACTATTACTTACTTCATTTATACGTGTTTTTGGTTATAATTTGTTTAATAGGTATTGCTGCGGTTTTTTTTTTTTAAGAAATAAAAAACTTCATCCTACGTTTGATATGGAATCTCAAAGGACCCCGAATAGCCAAAACAACTTGGAAAAATGAACATGGTTTAGAGGACTTACACTTCCTGATTTCAAATATTACAAAATTTCAGTAATCAAAATAGTGTGGTTCTGGCATAAGGACAGACATATAGACCAACAGAAAAGACCTAGAGAGCTCAGAAATCAACACTCATATATACAACAAAATGATTTTGACAAAGGTTAAATGGGGGAAGTCTCTTCAACAAATTATGTTGGGAAAGTTGGATATTCACACTGCAAAAGAATTTAGTTATACTATGGCATACACAGAGGTGAACATAAAATGGATTAAAGACCTACATGTAATGCCTTACCCTGTAAAACTCCTAGAAGAAAACCTACAGAAAAGCTTCCTGACAGTGGCAATGATTTCTTGGCTATGACACCAAAGGCATAGCCAACAAAAGCAAAAACAGGTCAGGTGCAGTGGCTCACGCCTGTAATCCCAGATCTCTGGGAGACTGAGGCGAGAGGACTGCCTAAGGTTGGGAGCTTGAAACCAGCCTGGGCAACACAGTGAGACCCTGTTTTCTCCACACCAAAAAAAAAAAAAAAATAGCTGGGTGTGGTGGCGCGTGCCTATAGCCCGTAGTGTCAACTACTCGGGAGGCTGAAGTGGAAGAATTGCCTGAGCTCAGGAGGTCGAGGCTATGGTGAGCTGTGTTTGTGCCACTACACTCCAGCCTGTGTGACAGAGTGAGACTCAGACTTAAACACACACACACACACACACACACACACACACACACACACACTCTCTCTCACTCACACACACACACAATAAAGCAGGAGGTTGAGGCTGTGGTGAGCTGTATTTGTGCCACTGCACTCCAGCCTGTGTGACTCAGACTTAAACACACACACACACACAAAGGGTGGCACCAGCGTTTTGACAAATTCCTATGAAAATAAAAACTTGCGAACAGAAGTTAGAAAACACCTAATGAAATGAAAGCCAAAAAAGGACAAACACCAGATTGTTGAAAATAGAGGGAATACCTGGAAAGATGAGAGATAAAGGGCAGCATTAAAACGGGCATATCTTTTAAGTCCATAAAAACCATCACAAGGAAAGTGGGGTTAAAAAAGGGAACAAATATCCCAGCGATACAAATTCAAGATAAAGATCGATGCTACTGCCACATGCATAAGGTACTTTCTAAGGGATGATGACAACCACAGAGTTGTACCCTCTGGGTATCTTCTCACAACCTAACTGGTTGATATTTTTCAAATGGGAAGACTCAATTTATAACACTGCTTCATCAAGCAGTCTTCTTGCTGTGGCTAACAGACAAGACGAGACCACTCCACATTGTTCTAAGTGTAGAAGAACAATCTATTCTTGGCTGAGCCTTCTAAATCTTAGCTAGGCAAACCAAAAGAGCTCAGCGGGAGACAAAGAGATTTATATGAAAATTAATAATTTAGGATCATGTACATATTTTAATGCTGAAAAAATAGATGAGACACATCTAAAGGACTGTGAAAAGAAGCCAAAAGCAAGCTACATTCATTTAAAATGTATAGATAGGGGATTGTAGGTAATGTCCTTCTGAAATGATTTTATTTTTTATAAAAAGCAAGAGAGATCTATATTAAAAATGCATACCTGACAGGCAGACTTCTACTCGTACTTATAGAAACCTCTGGGATTAAGTTTTTCCATTTAGAGCTTGAAAGCTCAATGGATTTCAACACAGAAATGGCTTCCTCTAAAGAAGACTTCATCCAAGAAGCTCTTTCATATCGGTGTTGGGACACACAGCCAGCTTCCTTATATCCTAAGGAAGGGAGAGAGAGAGAACATAATTTGATGTTTGTGTGTGTGGTTTTTTTTTTTTTTTTTAAGACAGGTTCTCGTTCTGTTGCCCAAGTTGGAGTGCACTAGCACCACCACAGGTTACTGAAGCCTCAAACTCCTGGGCTGAAGCGATCCTCCTGCTTCAGCCTCCCCAGTAGCTGGGTCTGCAGGTATGCACTACCATGCCTGGCTAATTCTTTTATTTTTCGTAGAGCCGAGGTTTCACCATGTTGCCTAGCCTGGTCTCGAACTCCTGGGCTCAAGTGATCCTTCCATTGCAGCTACCCAAAGTGCTGGATTACAGGTATGAACCATCATGTCTGGCCCATATAATTGGAGGTTTTAAAGAAGAGCGAACCAGGTTGCAGGACTCAATGAGAGGTACCTCGCAGTGTGAGCCGCCTGTCGGCATTGTCAGGGCGCAGTGACAAGCGGAACTCCACTCGGCTGGTAAACATGCGGTAGGGTTCACTGGTACCCAGCGTGGTGAGGTCATCAATCAGGACTCCTATGTAGCCCTCTGTTCGGCTAACAACAAAAGGAGGCTTGCAGCTGACCCGAAGACTGGCGTTGATTCCAGCTATCACACCCTACAAGAGGACTGAATGTTTAAAAGGCCATTATGAGCTGAACAAAGGGCTACCCTAACCAGTACACTACTCAGAAAGAGCAACAGAGACAGGAGGAAGGCAGGCACTGCCTGAAAGGGACATGGCAGAGGGAAGATGTGACCCACATTCAGAGATAGAATATGGTCACTGCAGCACTTCAGAAGGCTAACATTCCTGACAAGCCTGAGGGACTGCTCTTTTTTTTTTTTTAAATATATATTAAAAAAACTCACCTGTAAGACTTTTCCAGCTTTTCCACTTACAAATAAAAGCAATATAATTTCCCATTTATAAGGAATAATTATTTTAAGTTATATGTAATAAAGTTATGTCAAAATAACTAAATACTAAATGTTTTTTAAACTTCAGAGGCAATATAATAAATCTAATTAAAATAAAATATCAGATCTAGCTTACAAGTGTTTTTTTGGTGTTTTTTTTTGAGTTGGAGTCTCACTGTGTCACCCAGACTGGAGTGCAGTGCCCGCTCCCAGCCACTGCAGCCTCGACCTACTTGGCTCCGGCGATCCTTCTGCCTCAGCCTTCCAAGTAGCTAGAACTACAGGCGCGTGCTACCACACCCAGCTAATTTTTTAAATTTATTGTAGAGATGAGGTCTCACCAAGTTGCCCAGGCAGGTCTCAAATCCGTGGGCTCAGGCAATCCACTCACCTCAGCCTCCCAAAGCGTGGGATTACAGGCTGAGCCACTGAGCCTGGCTCCTACAAGTGTTTTTAAAAGCTTATCTTAAAAGTCATCTGCATACATCCTGACACAGATACTGTCTTTTTTACAGTTATGAATTGTATCTAATCTATGTAGCTAATACAATAAGCAGGAATACCAAAGTGTCCCTTTTAGTTTACAGTAACATTTTCTTTTATTTTTTTAAATTTATTGTAGAGATGAGGTCTTACCAAGTTGCCCGGGCTGCTCTTGAACCTGCAGGCTCAGGCAATCTACTCACCTCAACCTCCCAAAGTGCTGGGATTACAGGCTGAGCCACTGAGCCTGGTCTACAGTAACATTTTAACAAGGTTGCTCTTACTTGAGCTGCAGCTTCCTCATAACCGGTGGTGCCATTTATCTGTCCAGCAAAGAAAAGCCGTTGAACCAAGCGCGTCTCGAGGGAAGTAGTGATCTGACGGGGATCTAAGTAGTCATACTGAACACCATAGCCTGACCAGAGAATAAACAACACAGAATAAACACAGAGGCGGATTCACCTTAAGGTAAAAAGGTGAGAGCTACCACTAAATGTCCTTCAAAAACAAAGACTGTTTTAGACACACAGATGCTGGGCTTCATCTCCTGAGTGCTAAGCAATAGTGACTGTGGCGAAGGCCTCCTTGTTGCCTGTTGAAACAGTGCCGAGCCTGAGCACACACAACCCAAGGACGGCCACGACCCTCTTCACCTGGCTGGATCACTCTCGCTTTCTCCAGGCCTCTGATGCTTGTGATCACTTTCTCTTGTAACTCCGCTGGCAGTGTCATCGACAGCCCTTGGGGGTAGATAAGGTCAGAATCCATTCCTTCAGGTTCCAACCAGACCTGATGTAGACGGTTTGGAAAACGCAAAACCTTCGACTCAATGGAGGGACAGTATCTAGAACAGGACATTGAAATTTGAAAAACTGAAACAAACAGAAGAGGGTTGACACCATTTCTTAAAGTAATTGAGCACTGGCATTCTGTTCTCACCGGGGTCCTCGTGTAGTCTCCTTGACGTGACTATTCAGGTGAAGGTTCTCCAGGACAATCTCGTCCACTTGGGGGTTGGTGTGAGTCAAGTGACATGGCAGCTGGTCTTCTGGCTGAGAAACAGCAACCACACACAATACATTCTGCTTCCCTACTAGCTTGCCTCTTATTTAAATAAATTCTACATGGTATGTAATTACTTTCACAGACATTAAATCTATGCATAATGCCCAGTACTATTATTTTCTTGCCAAAAATAAACCTAAAAGGTGAAATTAAATCTAAGCGAGGCTCTAAATCTAACCACCAGTTTACAGAAAACAGGATAGAGGAATAGGATAAGGCACCAGAGAAATACAATCAGACAAATCTAGAATGAGGGAAGTTCTAGAAAACACATTTTTTTCTTTTTCTTTTTTATAGAAATGAGGTCTCACTATGTTGCCCAGGCTGGTCTCAAACTCCTAGCCTCAAGCAATCCTCCCACCTTAGCCTTCCAAAGCACTGGAACTGAGTGAGCCACTGTGCCTGGTCTGTTTCGGCTACCTGGAAGGCTGAGGCAGAAGGATTTACGAGAGCCCAGAAGGCCGATGCTAGGATGGCCGTGAGTGTGCCACTGCACTCCAGCCTGGGCAACAGCATGAACTCCAACTCAAAAAAAAAAGAAATATACCAAAGTATTTACAAGTGAAAATATGTGATATCTAGATCACAGCTTTAAAATGCAGCAAAAGAGTGTTGACGAGAAAAGTGAAACAAGAATGCCCAAATATAATTTGTTGAAATTAGGTGACAAATAGATTTATTATACTATTTCCCTTTGTGTAAATCTGAACATTGGCTGGGCTCGGTGGCTCAGCCTATAATCCCAGCACTTTGGGAGGCAAGAGGCCTGCCTAAGCCCTGGGTTCGAGACCAGCCTGGGCAACATGGTGAGACTGTGTCTCTACAGTAAATAAAAAATGTGCTGGGCATGGTAGCGTATGCCTGTAGTTCCGGCTACTTGGAAGGCTGAGGTGAAAGGATTGCCAGAACCCATCAGGTCGATGCTGGGGTGGCCATGAGCATGCCCAATGTACTCCAGCCTGGGCAATGGAATGAGACTCTGACTCAAAAAAAAAAAAAATCAGAATATTTACAATAAAAAGTTAACAAAAATATATACACCAAGAAAGTATCATAATTTGCATTTTACCTAAACAAAAACATACAAACGATCTGCTCAAAGTAATAGAAAACATGAAGTCACTTATTAGAACAACACTCACCAGAAACTAGGACCATCAATTATTAATCCTCAATCCTGAACACACAATATATCTTTCCTTAAAACTCAAAAGATAGGCAAAAGTGGCCTGTACTCTTCAAAAGTGTCAGTATCATGACTGTTCCAGAATATAGAGACTAAAGAGAAATGAAGCTGGGGGCAGGGTTTAAGGCCTGTAATCCCAAGTGGTGGGAGGCTGGGGCGGAAGAATCCCTTAACGCCAGGCGTTCAAGGTCAGCCTGGGTAACAGCGAAGCTTTAACTGTATTAAAAAAAAAAAAAAAAGAAAAGAAAAGAAACCGGGCATGGTGTTTCATGCCTCTAATCCTAGCACTTTGGGAGGTAGAGGTAGGATGATCGCTTGAATCCAGGAGTTTGAAACCAGCTTGGGCAACACAGTGAGGCCTCATCTCTACAAAAAAATCAGCTGGGCACAACTGCAAGTGTCTATAGTCCCAGCTACTCAGGAGGCTGAAGTGGGAGAAATGCCTGAGCCCCAGAGGCTGAGGCTGTGGTGTACTCAGCCTGGGTGACAGAGCAAGACACCAACTCAGAGAGAAAGAGAGCGAGAGTGAGTGTGCAGTGACAGAGTGAGAGTGAGAGAGAGAGATATTGCATAATTAAATATCGTATATGATCCTAAACTAGGAAATAAAAAGGTTGCTTTGGACAATGTTGGAACAGTTAGCTGACTATGGGCTTTATTTTAGATAACAGCATTGAATCAGTGTTAAATTCCCCCAGAATTTCTTTATTGCACTGAGGTTATATAAGAGGATGTCTTTGTGCTGAGCTGATATACAGGCTGACTGAAATATTTAGAGGTAAAGGTTCATGATCTCTGCATTTATTCTCAATTGTTTCAGAATAAAAATAAGAATGTGTATGTTACTGTCTTATACGTTAAATACATATATCAGTACGTCTATCTCTCTATAGAGATCAATATGGTAAGTTACTAACAAAAGGTTAATGTTTTATAGGAGTTTGATGGAATACTCTTACAACTTTTCTACAGGTCTGAAATTGTTTCAAAAAGCTTAATTTACAAAATAGGTAAAGTTATATAAATAAATAAATTTAATAATTTAAGGGGAAGCACCCAATTTGCCAAGCTAGCAACTCCTTCTAAGGATCACTTCTTTGCACTGTGAGCAACAGTACATAAAGTGAACTGCTGCCAAAAACCAAAGAAACGGTAGACCACCTCTGGCTGTGACTAGTTAGTATCCGCTGTAAACCCAAGCTTTCATAAATTATCTTACCTTAATCCATACTGTCTTGTTGGTAAAGCTGAACGGTAAAGGTGGATTATCTGGGGTCTGCTTGTTTAGAATGCTGAAGTTAATAGACTCTTTGGCAATTCGAGGTGGAGTCCCAGTCTTCAACCTTCCCACCGCAAACCCCAACTTCTCCAGCGTCTGAGCCAACCCTACAGAAGGCTGATCCCCTAAACGTCCTGCAGAATGCATCTCCACGCCAATGACAACCATGCCTCTCAGAAACGTCCCAGTAGTCACAATCACACTCTCTGCATATACTGTGCTTCCATCCACTAAATGACAAGAAAAAGAAAGTAAAATCACTTATTTGTTTTGTTTTGAGACAGGGTTTCAGTCTGTATCCCAGGCTGAAGTGCAGCAGCACAATCATGGCTCACTATATCCTGGACCTCCTGGGCTTATCCTTCTGCCTCAGGCACCTGAGTAGCCGGGACTATAGATGCGTACCACCATGCCTGGCTTATTTTTTAAGTATAATTGTTTTCTAATTGTTACCACAGATCACAATGAAATGTGATTATTTTACATTAGAGCTACAGAAAAACATTCAGTCTTTAGAATCTTGAGAAAGCTTTCTAAAGATATTTTTTCAAATTTTATTGAGGTATAATAAAAAACTATATATTTAAAGTATACAATATGGTGTTTTGATGTATGCCCTGTATAATTTCTATTGTCAAGCAATTAGTGTACCTAATCACCACACATAGCTACTATGCTTTGTGTGTGGTGAGAAAACTTAAGATCTACTCCCTTAGTGAATTTCAAATATATAATGCATTACCTATAGTTACCCTGCTGTACATTAATCTCTAGAATTTATTTGTCTTATAACTGAAAATGTGTAACTTGTGACCAATGTCTACCCATTTTTCTCACCCCAAAGAAAGTATTTTGAGTATGAAGGCTATATGTGATCACTCTCAAGAGCCTAAGAAATCTGGCAGAGAGAACATAATGTGTTATACCAATTCACGTGTTCCTAAAATCATACTAGCACTGCAAAGTTAGTCTCAGTAAATTTTTAAAGTTAAAAAATTTTAGAATTCTGGTTAAATATGGCAGATTACCTCACATGATTTCCTCTTCCTCCTGAAACTCCAAGAAAATTAAACAAAGGGATAAAACAGATATGCAACTAAAAGGACAAGTAATGAGAAAAACTTGTTAAAAGATGAGAAATTTCAGTACATTTTAAAAAGACAGAAATAGATGGAAAAACGGTAACTGACCCAGCAGAGAAGACAGCTACAACTCAAGTATCTAAAGAGAAGATACCAATAAGGATGAGCTAATTTTAGGCCAGGTTCAGTGGGTCAAGCCTGTCATCCCAGCACTTTGGAAGGCCGAGATGAGAGCATTGCCTGAGCCCGTTCGAGACCAGCCTGGGCAACTTGATGAGACCTCGTCTCTACAATAAATCAAAACAAATTAGCTGGGCATAGTGGTACGCACCTGTAGTTCTAGATACTTGAAAGTTTGAGGCAGAAGGACCACCTGAGCCCAGCAGGTTGAGGCTGCGGTGGCTGTGAGCAGTGTGCCACTGACACTCCAGTCTGGGTGACAGAGTGAGACTCCGACTCAAAAAAAAAAGAATGAGCTAATTTGGCCCATAAACGCTCAGAAGTTGCAGAAGCTGAGGTGAGAACTAAGGAATGTAGGAATGAAGCTTGGGGCTGAACAGGAAAGAAACAGTTGAAATCCACATATTAAGGTTTTGTCCCCATATAGATCTACCTTATGGTAAAATGGAGGTTTATTCTTTGGATAATGGGGACCTATTGTTTAATAGGCACAGAATATCAGTTTGGAGAGATGAAAAGGTCCCGAAGATAGTCAGTGGTGATGGTCTCACAACACTGAATATATTTAATGGCACTGAATTACACACCTTGAAACAGGCCAAGTATGGTGGCTCAGTAATCCCAGTACTTTGGGAAGCCAAGGAAAGAGGATCACTTCAGGCCAAGAGTTCGAGACCAGCATAGGCTTTGTCTCTAAAAAATTAGACTTTGTCTCTACAAAAAATTAGTTGGGCATGGTGGTGCAAACCTGCAGTCCTAGCTTCTTGGGAGACTGAGGCAAGAGGATTGCTTGAGCCCAGGAGGTTGAGGCTGCAGTGAACTATGATCACCCCACCATACTCCAACCTGAGTAACAGAGCAAGACCTTGTCTCAAAAAAGGGTTAAAATTTACAATAAAAATATTGTTGGGCCTATAAGACATAGACAGTGTCAAAAATAACATTTAAAGATATTAAATTGGCCAGGTTCGGTGGCTCAGCCTGTCATCCCAGCACTTTGGGAGGCCGAGGCAAGTGGACTGCCTGAGCCCGCGGGTTCGAGAACTGCCTGGGTAACTTGGAAAGACCTTGTTTCTACAATAAATCAAAAACCAGCCAGGCATGGTAGTGCGCATCTGTAGTTCTGGCTGCTTGGAAGGCTGAGGCGGAAGGATCGCCGGAGCCCAGCGTGTCGAGGCTGTGGTGGCCAGGAGCATGCCACTCCACTCCAGCCTGGACTCAAAATAAATAAATAAATAAACAGATAAAGATATTAAATTAAGTAAGGTATAAATAATTTGAGAGCACAAAGGTCTACACTAATACAAATCATATAATCATTAAATATGGAGAAGGAAGGAAACAGGAAGGAGAAAAGGAAATGAAGATGAAACTATGCTGGGCACTCATGCCTGTAATCCCAGCACTTTGGGAGCATGGGGGTACAGAAATGGCTTGAGACCGGAAGCTTGAGACCATCCTGGTCATTATAGCAAGACTCCTTCTCTATTTAAATTAAAAAAATATTTTTTAAAAAGTGAAACTAACTTGAGGTGAGTGGATTGCCTGAGCCCGCGGGTTCGAGACACGCCTGAGCAACTTGGCGAGACCTCATCTCTACAATAAATCAAAAAATTAGCCGGGCGTGGTAGTGTGCATCTGTAGTTCCAGCTACCTGGAAGGCTGAGGCAGAAGGATTGCCGGAGCCCAGCAGGTCGAGGCTGCGGTGGCCGGGAGCGGCCACTGCACTCCAGTCTGGGTGACAGAATGAGACTCCAACTCAAAAAAAAAAAGTGAAACTAATTTAATAATTGTTCTTAGAGAGAAGTCAGTAAGCATATTACATAAAATCTGAAAGGAGGTACCTAAAGAAACCTAGAATAAACTTATTTTAGCATGGTCTTTTTGCCTCAGCATAACCATTTTGCTTAGAGTTTACCCCGACACGCTTTGAATCTAGCACAGGTCAGACATAGATAAATTTCCAATAGGCAGGTTTTAGGAAGCATTCAGACATTTTGCTGCAGGCCAAGTGGCAGTCTATCCCACCCCCTTGGCAGAACTTCATCAGATGCAAGACAAGAACAGAGCCATAGAAATGATAATAGGCCACCTTTCAATCCAGGAGTTTGTAGACTACAATTGTCTGACAAAGTCTCTTGCAGGAAAACCCCCTTCCCTTGTCTCCTTCCATCTAGCCCACCACCTGAGGCCATGAGATGCTAATGTCTGGAGACCTCAAGATCTAAGACTCATGTGATTAACCCACCTATCTGCCTGCTGTCCATCACCAGACATCAGTATCTGCGCTTACCTGCCCCTTCGTAATGATGTGGAGCAGATCACCACCCAATCATCTTAATGACGTCCTCCCATCCAAGAGAAATGGTTAAAAGGACTCAACCATGAGCAGCCATTTTGCCATTGCCTTGCTAAGCTATGGTGTGGCAATGTGCTCTTCGAGCTATGGCCAAGGCCATGTTTTCTGGCTTTGGCCCCCTTCCCTATTGGGGAGGTGAATCTTCTCTCTCTAACTTACTTTTAAATAAACTATACTTTCTAAGCTAACTGTGCAATTCTTTGCATCTTTCATGTGGCATCGGATCGCACACAAGACACCCCACACCCCCAGTGGGCCTGTCCTAACATTTTGGTAACCACAGACAAAAACCACAAACCAGGACAAAAACCACAGACTTTCAAAAAAGTAACATGGCTTCCCAAAGCAAAGCAAACACAGATTACATGGGGGAAAAATGTATGGAACTATGTGTATAGCATGCTACTACCCTGTGGAAAAATTAAAAACTATGTATACATATGCATGAAGATCTGTACATACACACACAAAGACCACTCAAAAAGCTGAACAGTGAATGCTCCTGGGCAGGAAGACTGGCTGAGGTGGGCGGGGGACAAGGTAGAGGAGAGAGACTTCCAGTTCACTCTGCATACTTTTATAGCCTTTAAATTACTTGTCATGTGTAGTATTTCCCATTCAAAAAAGTTAATAAATCTATAATTATTAGAAAATGAAAACAGGGGACTTAAGATGTGTCTTTTAGAAGATGATATTCCCCAGTACAGCCTCTCCTGCCATTTTGTTCACAGAATGCTAGTAGGCAGCCCTCGATGAAAACTAATTCTCCTGAGAACTAACACACATCAGTATCTGGGGACTCACCAACAAAAAGACTGTTTCAAATCTTAATCACTACTAAAGAATAAAATTAACTGTGCACACACAAACTTTCCAGTATTTTGGTACCTTATTTAAAAATTCCAAAGTTCCTTATTCATCTGAAGAAAGTTGTGTACATGAAAGAGAAACCCAAACAAGCAAACAAAATAAAGAAACTGGGAGAAAAGAATATGCAGAACAGAAGGAAACTTCAAAATTTTATAATTAAAATCCTTACATAGATTAGAAAAAATGTAAGATTCACAAACCAAGAACATGTTAAGAAAACAGGAAAAAAAAAAACTGCTTATAAATGGAAAATATAATACATTAAAAAATGAATTAGAAGAATTTAATAAAGCTGAGGAAATCTCCTAAGAAAGTATGACAAAATGGTAAAATATAAAAACAGAAGAAACCTAGAGGTCTAATTTGGGAAGGAACAGGAGTTGCAGAAAGAGAACACAAAAAAATAGAAGAAAATGATCCAGAAAACAAAGACAGATTTCTGGATGAAAGGAAACACTGAGTACCTTACCACAATGAATGAGAAAAGACTTTTCTCACTGTGGCATGCCACTTGGAAATTTCAGGACACCAGAGACAAATGCAAGATCCTAAAGCTTCCAGAGAGAGAAAAAAGGAATGTACAAGAAAACACCCATCAACACAGCATGGAGCCTCTCAACAGCAAGACAGACAAGGGAGCAAGGCTGTCGAAATTCTGAGGAAAAACGACTGAGTCTAGAATTCTATACTCATCCCCAAATTAAGCGTCAAGTCTGAAGGAGAAACAATATATTTTTAGATATGCAAGGACTCAAAAAATTTACTTCCTATGCATCTTTTCTTAGAGTTACTGGAACATGTACTCCAGCAAAATGAGTTAGCAAAAACAAAAAAACCAGGCACGATGGCTGATGCCTATAATCTCAGCACTTTGGGAGGCCAAGGGGAGAGGATTGCCTGAATCCATGGGTTCGAGACCAACCTGGGCAACTTGGTGAGACCTCATCTCTACAATAAATCCAAAAATTAGCCAGGTGTGGTGGCATATGCCTGTAGTTCCAGCTTCTTGGAAGGCCGAGGTAGAAGGATTTCCTGAGTCCAGCAGGTCGAGGCTGCAGTGGCTGTGAGTGTGCCATTGCACTCCAGTCTGGGTGAGTGAGACTCTGACTCAAAAAAAAAAAAAGACAGACCGGGGCTCCAGAAAACAAAGAGCTTAATGTGGCAAAGTAGTGAAGGAAGATCTTAAAATGAGATGTGTGCAAAAGCCAATCGTCCTGATTATAGTGGACAGGGGCTAGGCTGTGGAAGGTGATATCTCTGGGAGGGAAGTATCAAAGAAAAAAAATAAAATCAACAGATTATTTAATATTTGAGTACTGAGAAAATGACAGTTCTAATGAAAAGTTGGACAAGTACACAAAAAACTAAGCAAATAATAACCCAAGGCAAAACATAGAAATATATGAAAGAAACAAACATAATATACTACTTGGATTTGCAGTGAACATTATTTAAATAATCAGAATAACAAAAATACGCCTGTAATCCTAGCACTTTGGGAGGCAGAGGGAAGACTGCCTGAGCCCAGGGGTTCAAGACCAGCTTGGTCAACATGGCAAGACCTTGTCTCTCTACAATAAACCAAAAAATTAGCCAGGCATAGTGGTATATGCCAGTGGTTCCAGCTACTTGGAAGGATGAGGCAGAAGGATCACCTGAGCCCAGGAAGTAGAGGCTGTGTGAGCATGCCACTGCACTCCAGCCTGGGCAGTAGAGTGAGACTCCAACTCAAAAAAAAAAAAAAAAAAAGAATAACAAAAATACTATCAACCAAAAATTATGGTATAATTATGTAGAAGGATGGAAGGAAGCCAAATTAACAGAAAGTTAACAGATATTATCAAGGACTGTAAGAAGTAAAAATATAAGCACACTGTTTAAACATATGGAGGTATATACCAAAGTGACCACTAAAAAAGTTGAAGTGGCTGTCTCCAAGGAGGGAGACAGGTGTTTTTCCACATAAATTTCTAAATTTCATTTAATTAAAAAAAATTATGTGCATGCATTACTTTGATAAAAATACATAACTCTTGTAAGTAAAAAATATATAATAAGCTGGTAAAATATAAATTAAAAAAATTTAATTTAGTCAGAACTAGAAAAAATAGAAATTACAATAGAAAAGCCAGAGAGAAAAGATAAATATGCAGGCTATAAAGTCCTATACTAAGATGGTACTGATGAGTCAAGAACTCAACTGTGCTTTATGAAAGTCAAAATGCAAAGAGAAACGTAATAATTCATATAGTTTTCTTCATCCAGGAAGAGAAAGCACAATTTCCTGGAATAAGCAAAACAGCTCCACACTTAGCTCTAAAATGAATTTCTCACCGTGTCTGACACGCAGTTATTACCATCTATAGCCAGTACCTACCCAAAACAACACCACTGACACGGCACTTCCCGGGGCGCTCAGGCTCTGGGTCTGACAGAATAAGGTCTTCGACAGCTCCTTCCTGAACAGTAAGCAGTGGTGTATTCAGGATTTCTTTCTGTCAGAAGAGAATGCTAGCTGAAATACAGCAGTTCAACCATCATTACACTCTTTCTTGGGCTAATGCCCTATTCTTACCTGCATGTTCTGTTTATAGAGCTTCCTATCAATCTGAGCTCTCAGACCCCACACAGCTGGTCCCTTGCGCCGGTTTAATACTTTGTAATGTATACCAGACTGGTCGCAGATGCGAGAACACAAGCCATCCAAAGCATCTACTTCCCTCATTAAATGTCCCTTTCCAATGCCACCAAAGGAAGGATTACATGACATCTGACCTAAAGAGAACAGAGAACAGACATAAAAAATATATATATATATACATATATATATGAGTACCTTGCATATAGTGGTGTTTAATAAGGAAAGGTTTGTACAGGTGACTAGAATAATCTCGTATGATAAAAAACAGGTAACTTGAAACATATACTACAAAGAGAATCCCAAGTCCCAAAGGGATGCAAAAGTCATTCAGGGCATCCTGGAAGACAAATCACTGCCTGAACTTGCTTTTGAATCTTTTCCTTTATATTTATTTTTATTGTTTCATTAGGTTGCCTCTTCCTTTAAAATGTGAAAACAAAGCACACTTGTTTTCTTTACTTTTTTCTTTTTTGACATAGTACCTAAGAATCTATTAAACCAAGCATACTTGTAACAAGTCCTTTGATACTGGTTCACTATTTTAATCAATTATGTCTTCGATAAATGCCATCTGCTGTTTTCTTTCTGCTCTTATTTTGCAGACATCATTATACATTTATTGAAAGGTGGGATATTTTAACCACCCCTTTACATTCTCCCAGCCTTATTTGGCAGTCTAAACCCATGTGGCCACCTTAAGGGATTTTACGGAAGGTGGAGGGATAAAACACGGTTAATATCTGCACACCCACGGCCAACACCACCAAGCTCCCCAAAAGTTGTTATGGTTGCCCAGGAGGCTGAGTATCACCGTGACTGGGAGATGGAGTCTGATGACAAGGACTGGGTGGGAAAGGTCTGGCTCAATGGCCAGATCTACATTTACTGGCTCTATGATTGTGGCAAGTTACTCAACTTTCAAGCCTCAGTCTCCCAACTGCGAAAACAGGGATGACAGCTGCCATGGATATTTTTTCTCCACTGAGAGAGGATTATAATTTTGATATGGTAAATACCTTCCCCTATGAGGCTTTGTGTTCAGGGAGTGGGACCTTAACTTGGTTTAGGGGTAAATCTTCATTGGCATCAAGTGCTCATGGTAATCAACACTCCTACTTGCCAGAGTCTGATTTCAGGGTGGGCAATGTTAGGAGTGGAGAAGTATCAAGGGGTCTTTAGGAAGTCATGGGGTTTTTCTCTCTTTAAAAAGACACAAAGAGAGAAACGCAGAAAGCTATCACACCTGGATCTGCTATAGCCATGTTGCAATCGTGGGGACTGCTAGTATGAGACAAGCTAAGCTGACATGACAGAGACACGGAAGATATCTGGACCCCTGGATGTTGCTGGACTGCAGAGATAACTAACCTTAGAGTTAATCTACCAGCAGACTTCCTGTTAGATAACAAATCAGCTAAATAAGGATTTCCTGTTACTTGCAAATGACATTATATACATAAAGCTCTTATGAGTAATGCAGGTTTGGGAGAGTAAGCAATAAATAACATTTTACCTAATTTCCCAGGTCAGTGTAAAATATTCTCTGCCTCTGATTTTTCATTTGCAAAACTGAATTTCACTGAACTGTTTTTAAAATTTATTTTTAGGCTGGGTGTGGTGGCTCATGTCTAGAATCCCAGCATTTTAGGAGGCCAAGGTGAGAGGATTGCCTGAGCCCACAGTTTTGAGATCAGCCTGGGCAACTTGGCGAGACCTCATGTCTACAACAAATCAAAAAATTAGCCAGGCGTGGTGGCACACACCTGTAGTTCCAGCTACTTGGAAGGTTGAGGTGGAAGGATTGCCTGA